CCCTGGTCACGAAGATCCATCAAATTATCGTTTGCAATATAGCCAAGGCCCACGGGGCGATAAGAATAGCATAATCCACTTCGGTGGTTTTCTTTGTCTCGTCTGAAACTTGTTCAAGTCTGGAATGATATTTTCTGCTTTAAAGGGGAATTACATTTTACATGTACTGTCTGCCGCACATCAGAAGGATCAAACTTTAACTCAACTTTTTTGCCATCACCTACGCAAACACTGTTGAATCACATCCAAGCTTGATATGTTCTGCTTGATCGATACATAAAGTCCTTGGGGAGAGTTTTAATGATATTTGATGATACATGCACGTATTAATTTTATCAAAAAAACTGCATGATGGGAAGGTCTGCTGTTGGACCCATTACAAAGGAATTATCCTATTTAGGAATGTCTGTCGGTTTGGTTTGGAACAGGAAAGTTTAAAATCATGTATACCATGTAATTTACAAAATACAAAATCACCCTGCTTGTGAAAGGACAAGGTTTATCAACCTCAAGAAAATGTTTCCTTGGTAATAACAAAAAACGTGAATTTCACAAATTGCTTGAATTTTAATATTGAAAGAGAAAGAGAAAGACACCAAAAATGTACACATGGTCAAATAGACAAAAAGGGCCATGATATTGATAAAAAATACTGTCCAAAGCAGTGTTCATCCAAACTCCACCGTTAGATGTTATTGCAAGATAGGATTCTCAATGGTTACTGAGAGTAATGCGGTACTAATAATTCAATGGCTAATATGGCCTAATTACCTATTTGATTACATCAGTTGACGATGGGATAGTTGTGTTAATAAATGCTTGTCATTAGGAGCATTTTCAGTGGAGAAATTTGATATAATTGTTCCTATTGTTCCTTGTCGGAATTTATCCTGTAATCAGCTATGGCCGAAATGGATAATTGCTATTTGTTTTAGATTAGTGGACTTCTAGGAGATCAAGCGCTTCAGCCATTGTTGATAATGTCAGTACGCTGCCTTTTGACATAATATGACATTTGGAAGTGTGTTCACAAGAGATAATGATGATTAATTGATATTGACCACGATGTTCTTGGAGCCTAATCATTATCTTCTGTTCTGTTGTAAAGTCCTTTGAACAGTGTATAGATTTGTCCCCCGCTGAAATTAGGTCCAAATTAGAAGGTAAGAATATGAAGAGTTAAATCTATCGAAATGGTACAAATTAAGTACAAGAACAGCTTCAAGTCTGAAATCCAAAATATTTGATATGCAAATCAATAACACGTTGAGAGAGAGTGTGAGAGAGACGGAGAGGGGAAATATGAGAGAGTGTGTGAGAGAGAAAGTGTGTGTTACAAATGTGGTCACAGTTCAAATGATGCAACTCCAAATTATATATGTTAAAACATGCTTTTAGCACCAATGATACGTCTACAAGGAAGACTGTTTGAATTAGATTAAGAGCTTGTGAAGTATTTGATCAACAGCTAATCATTTGATGTAGCTTAGAATTCCAAGGCTTGGCATAAGATTGGGTCGATGCAGGTCTGAGGCAAATGAGTACGTTATGACCGGGAATTGTGGGAGAGAAAGCGACCAAGTGTCATCGCTTATTTGATTACGAATGGGAGATTTGTGGAAGTAACCTCATCAAGACGAGGTGCCGACTGCCTGTGAAAGCCAAGTGGAAAAATCTGCTCCAATTTCTAGTGGAATCTGCTCCAATTTCTAAAAGCAGAGGCATGTTGGGTAATTGCTGTATGATAATCTCTCCAAGCACCTCATGGCTGCCTCTGACTTGCGATTACACAGCTTTATTGAAGTGATTGCGAACAGAACCAAAATCAATTGTCCACAAATTATGTTGCTTTGTGTAAAAAATTGTTCGTGTATTTTCAGTAGGAACTATGCGAAGGGGCAAAATTCAGGGGACAAAACTCAAAGACTTAGGCTACTGTTTGTTGGCCACAAATATATGATTGCCTCCACTTAAAATTGATTTTTTCGGATAAAATGGAAATGACTTGACCTTAGGTCTAGCATAGAGGAAATTTTCCATAAGGGAGCGATCAAACCGAGTTAGTTTGTGGTCATAATTGGTGCCTCCCAAAGAGCTGGTCCACTGTGCTACATTCACGTCTAAGGCAGTGCTTTTTTACTTTCGCGGAGTTTATCGATTTTGTCCATGGAGATAATGGCAGATTGAATTTGTGTTATAATTAACAAATACTATGGACTAGAGGAGGCAATTTGAAACTTGGACACGTTATTTCCTTTGTTGACTTCCCAAATTTGATTTCCCCCAAAGTAGCATTATTGGTGCTTATTTTGGTATGGACATTACCCAAGTGGGATCAGTAGAAGGGACATTTATTCAATTGTAAACTTACAGCTGTGTGTCAGAGATTGTCCCCCTGATTTGATGGTTAAACAGATCGATCTGTATGCTGGTGTTGAGACACATGCCAAGAATGCGTCAGGTAACGCGGTCACCTTGCTCATCTGTAACAAGACATCTCAATCCTCTCTCACTAGGCAGTTACCAATACCTCGTGTGTGTATAGAGTGAGTTGGGTTTTATGCCGCTTTTAACAGTATTCCGACAATATCACGACGGGGACACCAAAATTCGGGGGAATCGAACCCGGGTCTTTGGTGTGACAAAGGAACGCCTTAACCATTAGGCTACCCTACCACTTGTTTGTAAAGAAACATCTTGTTGTTCTGCAATGCAGTGAATATTCCAACGATATGATGATGGTTTTTCAGTGATCGAGTCTGGACCAGACAATCCAGTGACTGATATCATGAGCATCAATAATTAGATACATAGAGAATCTCGCCCAAGTGTCTACTGATACCAATTATATCAACACGAGTTGATAAAGTTACAAATATCCAAGGCTTGCCGAGGATATTTTTACTTTGTCAACGAATGTTGATATGATTGATATCAGTAGACATGAGGGAGAAATTCTATTTATCATCAAAATTCATTCTTCATTAGTTTTCAATGAAAAATGTACATCTCTCAACACTGTACTACCATATATCTTGCAGTGCAGTGATGTCATAGCATTGTGACGTCATCAAGTTGATGACATAGCATTGTCAGGGCATTGTACAAAATCTACTGTCAAAACGATATCTCCTAGGATCTCTCACAAGCGATATCTCCTGTGGAACCGTGCAACCGTGTCAGCATACCTGACCACCTGATCCCATAATTCATGTTTAAGATCAAGTGTGGGTTACTGTCCTAACTGGATCTTTGTGGGGTAGAGGAGAATGGGTTCCCAATACCCAATGTTTGTTGGAGAAACAACCCATGAAAATGCTTGATTGGCATTTTAGAAGATGATATTTGATGAACATAGAGATTTTTCTGGGTTACATCTTCTTTTTTATTCTCGAGTACAACGTTTCAGGGCTTGTTCTGGCCCCATCATCAGGTAAACTGAACAGTAACTGTTAACTCTGGCCGTGACGTCACAATGCTTATGACGTCACAATGGTTGTTTGAGTTGTCAATGGCGATGTCCAAGAAAGGGAGGTTGTTATGCTGTACATTTCTAATTCAATCAACAATTTTGTATAAGTATCTGCACAGTTCTAAATTGATCCATTAATTTTGCAGTAAATGACATCTTATCTATTCATAATAACATGTATTCTATTAGCCATGTCATCTGTATCTATTGACCACCACATGTATTGCGTCGTCATAGCATTGTGACGTCATAAGCATTGCGACGTCACGGGCCAGAGTTAACAGTTACTGTTCAGTTTACCTGATGATGGGGCCAGAACAAGCCCTGAAACGTTGTACTCGAGAATAAAAAGAAGATGTAACCCAGAAAAATCTCTATGTTCAACCCATGAAAAGCTGGTTACAATGTGTGGCATGGCTCAGTCTGTATCAGTATGCCAACATGCAGTCGGGCACTGATGTGTATGAACAATTGGAACCGATTGACGATTTACAGATTGCATATTGCAATGATATTACTTGAACATATTGCCAGGCTTACTTAAACACACACTAAACACCGTGACATTGGCGACATGTCACCCAGCTAGTCCGGGAGATACAATTTAAGTTTATGTTTTTATGGTGTGTAGTCATCTGGTGAGGTTCCCCATGGTTAGGTTGCGTCAGGTTCATTCAGCAGCCATGTTTGTTGGGAGCATTGGGTCAATATTAATGTATATGCATGTGTCCTTGTTCTAAATGGTGAACCAGATGTGTGGTATTTGTTTCACAATGAGTACTTCATGACATTTATAATTATCGAAAATGGATGAATTATTCATTTTCATAATTCTAGCTTACGTTCATTTGTTTGATTTGCCTAGTGAAGTCATCCGAAATGCAAAATACATCTTTTGTAGAAGAAACGCTGTAAGCCTTATGGCTCTGATGGTATAAAAATCACATAATGGGGCATAAAAACGTGTAACTTTTGCCTGAACTAAAATGATAATAACTGTCTGATATCTTGATCAATATTACTGAAATTGTGAAGATTGTATCAAGGTATTTCTGGTTTAGCTTTTGTCTCGATGGAATCTTCCTAAAACCATTTTCTTTCTTCCAAGTTGTTCAGTCTTGAGACAGTTATAGATTTTGCAATATGCTTCACTTTGATATGTGACAAATGTTGAATTGAGCAGGGAATGATATTCTTCAAATCAATTCCAGGATTAAAGCATGTGCTATTGTGCGCTCAGTGCCCTGAAATCAACGGCTAATATGTTTTTCTAATGTGCATTATATTTGGCACTTGAACAAGTGATTGTACCCATGAGTGGCACTCATCCTCATGCCTCCCATCTTTCTCTATCACCATCCCGATCTGGAGGCACGGCCACCGCTTGTGGAATATCAGCAAGCAGATTAGGCAAGCCAATATCTGGCGCTCACATCACATTTAAACTCTATGCATAGCAGGAACATTATGGCCACAATCCCAAGCCTGTTTTTACTGATGAATCTTAACACGTTTTTCTCTGTTTCAGGAGATGAAAGTTAACTGGGCAACTTCTCCAAGTAGCCAGCCCAAGCAGGACACAAGCAGTAAGTTATCTCCCCTTACTATTGCTATTACCAATGGCTCTTCTGGCTGCAAATGGCACTCACAATTTATGGGCAATTCCACGACAACCCACACATGGGGCTTCTGTTAGGAGCGACCAAAAAGGAAAAATCAAGCAATAATTAACTTTGACCTGTCATATGTCTGTTACTGTTGGCTACAGCTATTTAGCCATTTAGTTCCAGGACCCTTGCATTGGGTGCTTCAAACTGTGTTACTTTTAGTTCATTCTTCATGTAAAATCTGCAATGTTTTGATACTGATATCATTGCTTGACCTTTAACATGTGAGATCGTGTATCTTTAGAAATCAACACGCTCAAGGTGCCCGACACTGTCAAAATTGATACAGAAAAACACTCGATTAATAAGTTAAATTTTCCGGTTCTATTCAATTTTTGCGTATTAATTTCAGTATTTGGTAAGACTGCAATTAAGATCTAAATTGTGAGGATTTATGAGTTCACAAAAGAAAAGGAATGACAAAAAAATATTTTCTGGGCGACAAAACTATTCATTTCTCATGAGAACAAACTGAAATTTCTCCTTGTTATGTTGATAAGAAAATGCTTGAAAATGTTCAGTATAATTGCACACAGGAGAGAGTTGAGAATGAAAATATGCCAAATTCAAAGCCAGGTACTTTGGACATGTGAAGGAACCGATTCCTGAGTGAATTGACGCATATGGAAGAGAAAAGTCACTGTTAGGAAATCGCTGATTCTGGGAGCACAAAGCTTTTCTCAGTCGACCACAATTCATACATAAATTAGAATACTTTACTTCAACAGTGAAATAGAACTTTTCTTATTTACAAGACATTTCAAGGCTGTTAGAGGATATTATTATTCATACTGTTCGAGAAATTCAGAAAATCCAATTTCCACTTGTTCCAGCAGTTGACACAGTTGACAGCCTGTGCTGTGAACATAGATTTGCAAATGCCTTGGATTTTGTGACAATTTTGGTATTTCATTGTAACAAAAATAATTTAAATGAGTTTTTCCATATTCCAACCTGTTGCCATGGAAGCTGAACGAGTGTCTCTTGAATTGTACAATGTGTTAATGGTGAAGTATTGATTTTAAAATATTGCAGGTTTGATCAAATTGCCATCATATTGCTTATATCTGATCATATATAAGGCCATGAAAATTAATGGAATTTTTCTATTGCAATTTATTTTGTGTTTTTTCATCAGTGGACAGTGAAGTGTAAAATGTCAAACAATTTTAACATTAGTCTCTCAACATTAACAGTTTCTTTTTGCCAAAGGAAATGACCCTTTCATTATCAAAGAAAAACAAAATTACTGATCCCTTTAAAAACAATCCTATTATCAACATGTAATAATGACCCACATGAAACATTCATGAACTTTTCATGGCCTTACTGCAGTCATATTTCTGTCATACATGTATATACATATATCTGTGTTCAGTTTATCATGTCTTGCTTGTAAATGAATATCTACATAATACTAACACATGTTCATCCCAAATCTAAGCATGTTTCTCTTAAGCTTTGTTTCGTTGTCACAATACTTTTTGTTAACTTCTAATATCTCTGTCCTGACAAATCCTTGTTTGAGGTTAGTATGCCCTGAGTTTTGTTGAAGGGCAAAGCAAAATATATATTTCTTGTGATGTGAGAACATCAACAGATACTTCCTATAGATAACAATTGATGTTCATCCAGGTAACAGGCTGCTGCCTTCCTGCAGGAAACAATATTTGAAAGCAGTCTAACTTCAAACACAGCAGTCCATTTTTCATGATTTAATTTTCTGAAGAGGTTCAAGGTGTATTTCATCAAGTCTTATTGGTCAGCATATCCCATTATTTTCAATAACCAATTTTTCAGTTGCTGAAATTATTACTTTACAAAATGGACGATGCATGACAAAAAAGATAGCGCTCAGCGTAATTTATTTTCCGAGCTGTTCATAACAGATTTTCTGGTTTAGAGTCTAATTCTGACCAGTCCGTCTCCACATTCTACGCATTTGCCAGCCATATTCCATTATAGGTGCCAATACGTGTCAGAATTCAGGAAGAGAGAGAAACACAATCATTGAATATAATGCTTTCTGTGTTGCTTTGAAGCATCCTGTTCAGCATTAATTTCAAGTTTTTGTCCTTGGTTTGGACTTGACTATGGATAGAAAGATTTTGAAAGCAATCAGTGGCCAACCAAACAGTCATCTATTGATGGATTGGCGCAATATGTCACTGACATTTAAATCACTTTTCCCCACAAAAAAAAGTGATTTCCGAAGATTTTTATCCAACATCCATCATTCTTCTCGGTGAAAAGATATTGGAAAATTTTCACGGCTTTTTTAGCCTGGACTCTGTTAGGCCATGCTTTTCTGTGTCAATTTTAATCCATGTCAACCCTCCTACATTTCATGGAGGTGTGAATTGAACGGTTCAGTCAGACTGGAATGAATGCTGGGTTTTTTCTGGATGAAAAAGTGGTGTGGACAAGTTGAGCTTATTTGTTTTCTTCTCATTTATTGATTATTCTGTGCATGACTACAACCTCCGAGCTCTTCCGTGTGATGAGATTTGTAATCCAGGAACACAAGAGATACGTCTTCTAATCAGACTGCTATAATTAGCGTGAGCAAGTTAATCTGAAGTGGTCGTTCTATATCTGGCGTTTTTTTGTGTTTTTATATCGTGCCATTCACCTACTTCATGTTTCAAGGCCAATGCTTTGGAATCTCCGACTTATTTCTGATGATCATCATAAAGAGGTATATGACCATTGGACATTTCATGGTCTACTTATCAGAATATTTATACTCATAGCCCTTGGTCTAAAAATGAGTATTTCTGTGGCAGTCAGTCTCAGCTGACTATTGACTTTCTTTAAGTGTACGAATTCATGGTATTGATGTCTGTAGAGTATGTGCATTCCAAAATGGCCGTCTTAGTGTCATATGAATGCATCAGAATATATTTGTCATAATCTGCTTCCTAAGTAAAGCTGTTGCCATGATTCCATTAATGGCATGGAATTGGGTGAATCTCTGACACAGATTGGCATAAACTGTCCATATATCACCACATAGACTTTATCATACATTCTATTGCTATTCTTGAGGCTGACTAGCCCTACAGTCCAAATTGCTGCAACTTACTCTTCACCATTTCTTACCTTGGCTGTGTTGGTATTTTCTGAATGTGGGTTTTAGTCCCAAGTTCAGACTGAGTTACATCCTTGGCCTGTGTAAGTTCTAACCCATGCACACTGATGGTTAGCCAAAGTGGTAGATGTATTCAACATAAATTGCTACGGCATTCCTCCTCCATTGCATTGCCAGTCTGTGTTATGACTGTTCAAGGGGCGGTGGGGGTAGCCTAGTGGTTAAAGCATTCACTCGTCACACCGAAGATCCAGGTTCTATTCCCCACTCGGGTACAGTGTGTGAAGCCCATTTCTGGTGCCCCCCACCATGATGTTGCTGGAATATTGCTAAAAGATGTGTAAGACCACACTCACTATGGCTGTTCAAGTCCGAGTTAATCCACCAATCTGCTCAGATGATTCAGTGGTTGCACAATGGGAATGTTATGATGGAGAACCCTCACAAGACAAGTATTTTCTGGCATCCATTTCCTCATTCTAAACCATTCCTATGAATTCCATTTAACACAACAAATCCTCAAGTGCAGACAATTTGAACCATAATGCTATTTTCTTTTTATTATATTTTTAGTCGGGCGTCATTTTATGTTCATGAAATGTAAGTCTAAGGTGAAATTTCATGAGTTATCAGAAACTTCTAACATAAGAACGAGTAATTTGAAATTAAATCTGATAGACATTATTGTATTTTGTTGTGCTGACAGGGAATTGGATAGCCTTGTGGTTATGGCATTTGCTTGTCAAGTTTAAAGGCAAGGTTTTGATTCAGCACATAAGTACAAGGACAGCAATATCAGAATTAACCAGCTGTGATATTGCGGCAATATTGCTAAAAGAGGCATAAAACCTTACTCACCCTTTTGCCAAATACAAACATATTGTTAACAATAATATTTGTGTTCATTCAGTTCATTAAACAGCAATACAGTTTAATTAAACTGCATGACAATTTGATTGAAGAGCAAGGTGTGCAAGATGAGATTTGACATGTAGCACCAAATTCACAGTTGTTTTTTGAGAACCAAATAATAATCATAACTATTTCATCTAATAAATCTACACAAGAAATGAAACGTTACGCACAAAATATAAAAGATAGGTCTGTATCTGGTTTTACATTTTCTGATATATTTTGCAAATCGGAAAGTTAATTTAGCCTGGGGTTTTAGTTCAAAGTTGATCATACTGTTTTCCTTTGATTTTGAAACAACCATGGGTGAGTGGAAACTAACTCAGTATGGTAAATTCTCTGTAGACCACTCTATTGTATGTTCTAATGATAATTTAATAAATTAGGCTTGGAAAAACATGAAAAAACAGACAACAGCTGGGAGCTATTGCCTTGGTTGGATATTAATTGAATGTCTATCTCATTAGCCCTCATCAGGAGGCTCAGCAGGAAATATTCCTGGAACTAGAACACAGCTTCAGAATGGAACATCAATGCCATTACATGCCCAAAGTAATTGGACACAACCATACACACAGACTAGAACGTACCAATACTTACTGGTTTATGGTAGGGCAGTGACCTCATGTTCAGCACCATTGGACAGATTTTATCATTTATCCCATGCTGGTAGAACGGACCTATATTGCCCCGGAATGAGAATTTATGACTGTCCACAGGATGAGGTGTTCTGGTCTGTAGAGCTACCTCAGCATATTGACTAGAGTCAGTTTGTGTTAATCTAACAGAGTAATACTAAGTAACACTGCTCTCTGGAATGAGACTCTGCACAAGGGAGACTTTCTGGATTTACACTTCATGTTAAATCCCCATTCTCCAACCCTGACTCTAAATTCTAAGGCTGTGGTGAAAGATC